AAAAAAAAAAGAGGACAAAGACTGCTTTGATTCTGAATCCATTCACCTGGGTGGAATTCGGGCTGTTGTGGGGAAAATCTAAAACACACACACACACACACACACACACACACACACACACACACACACACACACTAAAAAGGTTAAAGGAAAAAGAAAAGAAAAAGGGAAAAGGAAAGAAAAACCAAAATAGTGAGTGGGCGAGCACATTTTTGACATCGCCATCTTTGGTGATTTTTCAGTTTTTTTTAAAGGATCAGCCAAATGCCCTGAAAATTTGTAGGCATGTACCCTACATGCTATGAACTCACCAAAACAAAAAACAATTTTTATTTTTTTTTGCCCCGAAATGATTTTTGGCGGGGACAGGACTTTGGGAAGTTCGGCACCCCCACGTTCGGCCAGACACCTGAATGGGGGTGGAGACCCCCCGGAATGTTCGGGCCGGTAAGCCCGCTTTCAGCATTTTCATCAGGAGCATGGTCCCATTAGCACCGGATAGAGGGTATGGCCTGCCCAGTGTGATGCTCTGTGGCAGTTAGACAGGTTCATGACAAACTTTTTTTGGTCGGAGAATACATGAGAAAGGCACCAAAGAAAACAATCAAATAGAGACCTCATGCCCAGAAATCACAAAGCAGGGCTTCGCATTCCCAGCAATCAGATGACAAATGATCCGAGTCGGAGCGAGTCCCTCAATTTTTATTTTTATTTTTTGGGGGGGGGGAGGTGGAGTTTGAGAGTTGGTGTGGCCATGCAGAAACTCTTGGAAATCCTATTTTTGAGACGAGTGTGGCAAGGCCCATAAAAGCTAAAAATAACACCATCCATGCAAAATTGCTAATACAACCAACTGCAAAAGGTGATGAATAGCTTATTATGCAAACACCATCCATGCGAAATTGCCCAAAAACTTGCAAAAAGTGAAACACATATTGATCCCTGGTCCCCCCAAGCCAGCTTCCATTGAATAGCTTAATATGCTGCAAGAGTTCTCTTTTCAATGTCAGATATTGTTGAATATGTTGCTTAATAGTTTCAGTTTATCCTAACTGCAAGGAGCAAGGAAATGAGCAATGCGAACAGCAATAAGCTAGATTGCAACGTCTCACGTAAGATCAGATATCATTGAGCAGAAACTGAACTTCATGAGATCTCTTTTTTTTGGTCAGTTGCTGTGGATACTTAGAGAAAGGGGACGCTGGACCCGGTTTCCAGCAGAGCCTAACCTGGGTAAGGGCCCCAGGGTAACTCCGGGTCGAATTGTGGGGTCCCCGGCCCCGTTCTCTTTGAATTTGGAAATAAAAAGGGCAACTTTCCAAAAAAAAAAAAAAAAAGAAAAGAAACTGAAAGCAGAATGCACAACGAGGTCACACCAAATAGGAATGAGCAAAGAACTGAAGTCTCTCTCTTTTTTTTTTTTTTTTTTTTTTTTTTTTTTTTTAATTTTTAACAAGAAACAAGCACATTTCATTATCACAAAAGGGGGAGGCCGGGAATCCCTTCACAAACAACCCGGAAACAATTAATTACTCAGACCACTACCCAGCTTAGGTGCGGGCGTTGGGGTGCAGAGTCTAGGGACAGAAACGGCCAAAATGGGACTGCTGCCCTGACAGACCCCACTGATGTCTCTTGATAATGAATGCCCTCCCAAACGCCTCCGATGACCAATGCAACAACAACGTAGCTCCCTATTGACGGCTATCGACCCAGACTACTGACGGACACTCCCATCAACCTTTTTTTTTTTTTTTTTGGAACAAGGCTCCAATCTATTCGTGGGGAGCAGCACGTGCTGGGAACCGGGCCCAGCGTCCCATATAGAAAATGTTTACATAGAATTTTGAAAGTTTGAGATACCGGGGCCATTACCCGGCTTTGGCTAAGAAAATTTTGAGCTACTTAGAAATTTACCACGACGAAATTCAGAAATAGGCAAAATTCAGACAACAACTCAGAACCCCCCCATCAATCCTCTTTACCTCACTCCGGCAAGACTTACTGCAGCAGAGCCACCATCTCCGCTGCTGCTGTACCCTATTTCCATCCTACGAGCTAGCCCTCTCACTAGTAGGATGCTTCATATCCCACCATCTACTTCTCCCCACTCACCTCTTTTTCTGAGAAACAAAAACATATGCACAATTCAGGAAAAGACTCAGACCCCCCTAAACAATCCTCCCATCAACCTAGCCTTCTTATGTCAGCAACAGGTCACACATGTTGCCAGCCCAATGACGCCAGAAGACTCTGATTGAACAGCCTGCCTGTGGCGTCGCCAGGTACGTGCTTCGTCACACTGCCCTCATCTCCTCCTTCCCACAGCCCTTCTTCCACCAAGGACCTCCGCAGCTTCCACCATCTGGCGATCGAGCACTCAGCCTGACTATTGCTGGCTGGCACTCTCCCTCTTCGTCCTTGCTGCTACAGCAGCAGCTTCCTCCTTGAGCACAGCGCTCAGCTACTGCTTCAGCAGCACTGCCGCATTGGCACAATGCCCAAGTCCCCCGGAGGCTGTGCCCTCAAGCCTTTTGTGCTCGTTGGAGTGGCCGAGCAGCCTCGTCTGGCGTGGGTGCGGCCAGTCCCAGTTGCCTGTGCCCTGGGCCCCTCTGGAAACTGCGCCCAGGCCAGACATGCACAGCATCTTCAACAAACTGGGCCTACCCGCTAGTTGCAGATGCTGCCTCGATGCTGCAGGCTGCAACCACCTGGGGGCTCTCAATTCTACTCATATAAGCCTGTACTTAGGCCGGGGTGCACT